AGGATAACTGCCCCTCCCCTGCCCCATTTGCAGCCCTGCCACCAGTACTCCTATTGATTTCAGTGTAAGTAAGGGCCTCAGATGGTGCCTTTTGACAGCTGATTTGATAACTGATACTCCATGTGTTGAATATTCACCATGGATCTGTTCCACCAGCTCTTACTCAGCTCCCACTGCATTTACCTGGGGAAAGAGGCAGACTGTCTCCCACGCCTACCTGAGGAAATCCTCTCCTGACTTTTAATACAACTTTTAACACGTCTCGTGGCTCCCTCCCTCCCCCCCAAGAACAAAGTTCTTTATAAACACTCAAGAAAAGTTTTCATCCAGCAATAATCACGCCCTGGAATCATCTCATCGGTTACGAGACTGAGGCTTGTAGGTATGTCTACACTACAGCTAAGGACGTGATTCCAGTCCAGAGACAGGGCTCCTCTAGCTGTGATCTAGCACCACTGAGAGGGCAGGGAAGCCGCGGTAAGCCTTTGGCCTGCAGGGAGGGCTGTTCAAACCCACTGGGACCCTAAGGACACACATGCATTCCTCGTCTGTGCACCAGATCTTCACTGAGGCTTTCAACAGGGCTAGCTAGATGGAGTTTTGGGTGGGTAACTGTCTGTGAGCTGCACCCCCCTTCCTCCCCGCTCCCCCAAATGCAATATGGACAGACCCTGGCTCTACTGAGGGTGGCACTTGCTATCAGAATCCTAGAACACTTGAACTGGAAGGGACCTCAAGAGGTCATCGAGTCCAGTCCCCTGCCCTCATGGCAGGACCCAGCGCTGTCTAGATCATCCCTGACAAGTATCTGTCTAACCTGCTCTTAAATATCCCCAGTGATAGAGATTCCACAACCCTCCTAAGCAATTTATTCCAGTGCTTCACCACCCTGACAGGAAGTTTTTCCTAATGTCCAACCTATATCTCCCTGGCTGCAGTTTAAGCCCATTGCTTCTTGTCCTGTCATCAGAGGCCAAGGAGAACAATTCCCCCCCCCCCCCCCCCTCCCCCCCTTTAGATACCTGAAAGCTACTATCATGTCCCCTCTCAGTCTTCTCCTTTCCAAACTAAACAAGCCCCGTTCCTTCACTCTTCCCTCATCGCTCATGTTCTCTAGACCTTTCACCATTCTTGTTGCTCTTCTCTGGACCTTCTCCAGTTTCTCCACTTCTTTTTTGAAAAGCGGTGCCCAGAACTGAACACAATACTACAACTGAGGCCTAATCAGCGCAGAGTAGAGCAGAAGAATGACTTCGTGTATGTTGCTCGCAACTCTCCTGTTAATGCCTCCCAGATTCAGGTTTGCTTTTTTTGGCAACAGTGTCCTGCTGTTGACTCATATTTAACTTTTGGTCTCAGATACCTCCTCAATCAGCTCCTTGAGTGTTCTAGGATACATTTCATCCAGCCCTGGTGACTTAAAGACATCTAATTTTTCAGAGTAATTTTTAACTTATTCTTTTCCTTCCTATTTTAACTTCTGAACCTATCTGATTTTCACTGGCATTGTCTATGGTAGGTGGTCCAATTGCCACCAACCTCCTTGGTGAAAACTGACACAAAGTCGTCATTAAGCACCTCTGCCATTTCCACATTTTCTGTTACTGTTTTTCCCTCTTCGCTGAGCAATCAGCCTACCCTTTCCTTGGTCCTCTTCTTGCTTCTAATATATCTGAGCAGTTCTACTGATTTCAGAGCTACTCAGCAGAAGCATGGCTGAAGTTAGCCCTGGGTACCATTAAGGACATGAAGTCCCTCACATTGGGTGGGTTGGGCAAGGAATGAAGCAGAATTCTGTCATTTTTAATCATTTAAATTTCTGACCCATGGAAGATTAGGCGGGCATCCTGCATTTGCTGTATTGTTCTCTTCTCTCCTTTCTTGCTACATGTTTTGAATAATATACGGAAAGTGCTTTTAGTTTGCACTAGTGACCTTTTCATTATGCTTCAGTTAGCTCATTTACCTGTTTCTTTCTCCACAATCAGACTCGATCTGTTTGAAGGGGATGTAAAATTACACAAAAATTCCTCTCTGGATGCCTGCAAGACAACAGATGTGAGAGATGGAAAAGCAGTGTCAAATACCACCAACAGGCAGAACCGAACTCGGGACCTCTGGATCTTAGTGCATGAGCCACTACTGCCTGAGCTACAAGGAAGCTCTTGTATTATTTTCTCTGGAAGTGGTCTTGATATGTCACACCCAGCAGGTGTATGGGATATACAAGCATAGCAGTGACTACCCACTAGTCAGCGCTGCAAATTTGGGATGAAAAATATCTAATGCGATTAAAGAAAAAAATCTCTCTCCTCACCCACTTCTATCAGGAGGAAGAGGAGGAATCCACTAGCCAAGCTGTTCAAAGAACAATACAACTTTGTAACAAAAGTTTTGTCCATTTTTTTCTCCCCAGTCTCCCCCAAGATTTTTGTTGAAACATTGACCAGCTCCAAAAATTTGATATTTTACTTTCCAGTCCCAAAAAACTACTTGCCCAGAATAAATGGGCCAGGCCAAATTCAGATACGAACACGCAACTCCACCTGTAAATGCACATCCGTGTGCGAGAGCAGGGCTGGGTGGGACATTAACACACCCACGGGCTTTGCTCGGACGACAACGCATACGTAGGGGAGATTGGAAAAGAGCGTGTTCGAGACTGCAAATGAAAGGGCAAAGCAATCGCACGTCGCCGCACAGAGAGATTTGGAGCGGAGTCAGAAGGGATGCGAAATGAACAAAACAAGCGAGATCCAGCTAGGCTACGGACAAGCACACGCATGTGTTTGTCTGCAGAGCAAACCGGGGCAGGCTACCAGCGGGCAGGGGGACAGAGCAGTGCGTGTGGGTAGGACCCTGCGGGAAGACCAGGCCCGTGGCTCGTACATCACAGCAGATAAGTCCAACTGAGCCAATTCCAGGGAGCGGGGATCTGACGGGAGTGGGAAGACCTGCTGCAGGGCTAAAGGAGCGAGAGGGGCGTGGGCAAGCTGGAGAGAGGAACCACAAGGGAGCGGGGCTGGCTTGGGTGGTGGGCAGTACTCCCTGGAAGCTGGGCACTTGTGCGGCCACTCAGGAGAGAATCCAATGCTGCCCGGCTGATTAGCAGAGCGCTCCCAGGTAGATTTTGTGTACCTACTGGTGGTGCACATTCGCACATGCCTTGGTGCACATAGAAAAATTTATTCTGCACACAGTTGGAAAAATCCCACTCGTGAATGGAAAAGATTCGAGGCAGCATTGGTGGTGGGTCTATGGAAGAAGCAGCCAGGTGCTGGAGAAAGTAGCTTTGGGGCTGGAAGGAAACCAGAAGGGATAGAGCCGAGAGCGGGCTGTGAGAAGAGACGCTAGCTGGGCCTGGAAACTGTAGGAGCAGGATTACTAGAGACCCCCAGATGGGAGGTGGTGAAACACTAGGACAAAGGACGAGCTGAGGAACTGCTTGTGTCCACGCACATACACCTGCTCCCAGGAGGCTGGTCTGGCAGCCCTGCTCTGTGGAGAAGGGGAGAGCCCTGAGCGGCGCCTGCCCAGGGAGTGCGAGGGGGGTCTGCCTGGCGAGGAGGGGACAGCAGAGGGAAATGCCGCTATTCGAGCTAGCAGGAAGAGACCCGCCAGTGCCTGGCCCGTGCAGTGAGACTCACCGAGTTAGACATGGCAGTGCAGGAGTAGAGGGTGTCCCGGCCAGCCAGTCGCTGGATGTTCTCCAAGAGCAGCCCGACCAGGGGCAGATACAGCTGGGCTATTTTTGCCTGCATGTTCTGAAAGACAATCGGTGACACACACTTTGCAGGGAACCACCCACAACTTCACATGTAGGAGAAGCCCCTGAACTTCTCAAAGATGATCCCTGCTCATGGCTCCAGCCTAGAAAGACGTAGCTAGTAACTCCATCAGCTCTCTTCCATAGGAGTTTTGCGATCTCCCCGCCTCCCCCCCTCTGAGGTAGGAAATATCCCCATTTGATAGATGGCAAGCAGCTGGGCTAAATGACATGCCCGACATCACACAGGAAGTCTGTGGCAGAATGTGCTATTGTCCCCAGCCCTCCAGAGTCTCCAGCTGCATCCTACGCATGAGGCCACCCTTCTTTTAAATAACCAGCCTGGTTTGCAACAGCGCCGAGTGCCCAGCTGAATGAACCAGTTGTGGCTGTGATCCCTTTGTCCATTAGGGACACAGAGCTCTCCTCTGTCTCAACCCGCCAAACGCTGAGCATGGCACCTCGGGGTTTCTAAGCGGCAGAAGTCAGCAGAGATCAGCGGGAAGCACAATGAACCTGCTACCGAATCCTGCCTGCCTAGCTTTCTAGGAAAGAGAGAGGGGTTGCGCTGGCAGAAATCGCTGACAGGGAAGTCCAGGGATAGCAGAACCCTTCCAACCGTTAACAATATGTTGCCATAAACAGCTGGAGGAAGAGAGCGGTGTTGTCTTCAAGTCATTGTCAAGTCCAAGTCGAGTCTCAAGTCACTACAGTTCAAGTCGAGTCTTGAGTCCCTAAAGTCACTTTCGAGTCAAGTCCCAAGTCTTAATTTAAAAAATGTCAAGTCACTTTTGTACAAGCCATCAATATCAGCATTTTCGGACAATTTTTTCACCAAGTCGATTTAACAAAATTAGCAAGTCTCAAGTCGTGTCTTAAGTCACAAACAATGAACTGGAGTCAAGTCTCAAGTCGAGTCACCTCGGCGACTTACGTCGGACTCGAGTTCAAGTCATGGCACACAAGTCAACAACTCTGGAAGAGAGGCACCAGAAACACAACGTGGGCCTTTCAAACCAAACCTCCCCCAAACCCTTTTCCCTGCGGGCGACACTGACTAGCTAGAAAAACATCAGTTTATCTTTGTGTACTAGAGATCGCATCTCTCTCCAGATCACAGCATATGAAATACACTCCTAGCCCAGGAAAGCACGTGCTTAAGTCTCCAGGGGGCTAATCATGTGCTTCCATTCCTCGTTGGATCAGGGCGTCATCACCCGACTGCTCACTATGGCTAAAACCAACGGGAATGACTAGCAGAAGACGAAGCTGTTTCCATCTTGAATTTTCCCCACAGCGTAGGGAAGTGCCTGCCAATTATCCACAATCAGTCTCAAAAAAGGAACACGATGCTAACGAATGCTCAAAGGCAAACGCCTCGTGTGTCTTTGCAGCGACCCCCCAACGACACGCTGCGCGCTGCCCTTCAAGCCAGGCCTTACCTTGTGCTGGTATCGGTTGTCGAACGCATGCTTTATGAAGAGATTCTTCAAGCTAGCAATGGCTGTGAATCTGATATCGTAATTGTCCTGCAGAGCCACGGCGGTTTCCCGCAGCAGCAGTCCCACCAGGAAGTGATGCTTGCAATAGTCATCGGTTAAACTGTACTCCAGGTTTACATCTGCAACACACAGCAAACCATTGAGCGGGGCTTGCAGGATTTCACTCTGGAGAAAGCAAGGAGTCGGGATTTATTCCTAATACAGATACCGCCCCCTCTGTAAAGCGTTTGCATGCGGGGGGTGCTTCAGGGACCTGGAACAGCCCTGTATCTTTTGCACCCATCATTCAAGGCAGCTGCTTTCTGATTCAGATGGAATGGACCACTGGCTTTGCCCACCAACTTCAATCACATCCAAGGACAGACACCCCAGGAGCGAGGAACCTAAGGCCTGGGGGCTTGATCTGGCCTCTGAGGCTCAGGGCTCTCCCCCAGCATTGGGGAACCCACACTGGTGCTCCAGCCCCCCCCAGCTGCCTTCCCACAGGGCTGGAAGGCACACACTCTACCAGGCTGGGCCCCTTCCAGGCTCCGGTGTGCAAAGGGAAGGTGGGGAGGGTCTTTCTGCTTCTCAGTCGGTGGCCACCGCAGTGAGAGTTGGGTGGGGTTGTGATTTTCCTTTTGGCTTCTCACTTGTGTGCAGCCCCTGATTGGTTTTACTGTGGGTCAGCAACCCCTGACCCAAAAAAAGTTCCCCGCCCCTTCTCTAGTGCTTCCTGTTTGGGTTTCATGTTGAAAGGTGCGCCTCTCTTTGGTGACAAGGTTGGACCTAGGAGTCCCCCGAGAGGCCTTGTTCACTGTACTGCTCCACGGGCCGGCACAGCAGAGTTTGACTGACGTCCTAGCATCACAGAGAGCGGAGAGGGACGAGAGCTGCTAACCCCCAATGCGAGCCCCCGGGGACTATTATAACCACTGGGGGGAGGGGTTATAACACACCATGACGTGGCATCTTTCTGGGGCGGTTTATGCTTGTGTGAGCTAACAAGCCGGTGAGAAGCTCGAGCCCTGAGCATAGAGAGAATGAGAGATGCATGGCAGTGATGCCTAGTGGCAATAGGCCGCTGGGTGCAGCAGGGTGGGAAGGAATCCACATCCTGCGTCCGGCCACTGGTTTATTTTGCATCTGTCATGGCAGTGCTGCCCCCTTCAGCCCTGGTCCGGCAGCGAAGGCCAGAGTTATAATACCGAGTCCCAGCACACAGGGGACAGCCTCTTGCAACTACAGAATGAGATCGAGCTGCAGGAAGAGCTAAAAAGTACAGGAGGCAAATGGGGATGCCCCGTCACCGCCCAGCTCTGGCCCTGTGGCTGGTTCCGAACACCAGGCTTCAAACCAGGCCCCCTAGGGACGGGGAGCTCACCAGGATGGGAGCTGTCATGGCCGCAGCTCTACCAGCAGCCCTCTTTTGCTCTTCCTGACCCACGGCCTCTGTAGCACAGCCCCAAGGAGCAACACTTCCCCGCACCCAGCTGCTGGGCTCTCCCCTATCAGCCTCAGGGATGAGCTGCAAGCCAGGTGGCCTCCCCCCTCAGCTGGCCGCCACCCTGTTCCCAGCTGTTTGGAAACTCCCATGCTTAGGGAAAGCTCCCCTTAGGCCGGGAAGCTAGACAGCTGTGAAAATCCCAGCCTCCAGCTCTGTCGACACTGAACAGTTGATTGCCACAAGGGGAGTAGCCCCCAGTGCCGGAGCCTGGTTTACACTGGCGCTTTACAGCACTGTAACTCGCGGCCCTCGGGGCGTGGGCGTGATTTTGCACACCCCAGAGCCAGGAAGTGACAGTGCGGCAAAGAGCCAGACTTGGCCTAAGTTTCCCAGCAGCCCTGACATGTTGATGACAAACATAACAGCTGTTTGAAATGCTGCTGGTCCAAGTCTGATCCAAGGTGAATCGAGGTGCGAATTCAGGGGCAAACAGGAAGCAAGCTGCAGAAGCCACCCAGTGCAGAGTTTTAGCTGTTTTAATAGACGTCTACCTCTATTCCCCACCAGGGTTATTTCGGTTAGTTGGACACAAGCAAGGAAGCCAATTCAAAGTGGCGTATTTAATTTGACATTAGATGGTTCAATGGTCCCGGTCCAACCTACCTACTGAAGTGAACCGTTCCACAGCAAATGAAAAAAAATCTAAGTCATGCGTAAAAAAAGAAAAGGAACAAATAAAAACACAGCAAAACTTCAAGCATCGTTGCCCCGCCCTCGCCTGAGCAGCATTGGTGGCATTGTTAACGCGCGGTTAGCATGTTTTTGTGTCGACGAATCGACATTGAGCTGGGTGGCAGCGACCTGCAAGGACTGGCTAGGGTGAGTTGTGCTCACAAGAGCGCGGCCAAATTCGAGCTGCTGGTGAAACACCGATGGCCTTCAGGAAAACTATGGGGGAGAGAATGGGGGGAATGTAGAGAAGGATTTCTCTGGAAAGCCACAGGGAAATTGCTTAGGGATGCCTCGGGTTCATAATGGGGCATGGCCCACCACAGGGACGGTCTTGCGCGCTCACACTGTGCCCCGTTGCCAGCCCCCTGCCAACGATCCCGCCTCTAGTGGGAACTGGGCACTCAAAGGTTGGAGGGGGGGGAAGGGAACTTCTCCGGGTTCAGACAACTCCAGATGCTGTGAACTACCCCTACAGTCTCCCCCACTGCCCCACGGACATGTCCCAGTGCACACGACAATGCCACATCTCTGCAGGCCCACGTGAGGCTTGTGCCCGGCAGCCAGACTGGGGTGAACCGATCCGGCCATGTTGCTTTGTGAGAAGGAAGGAAAACCATTTAGTTGTCAGTGCTGAACTACAAGGAGGCAGCTCGGGGGCTTTTAGGGTTTCAGTCTGAAGGCTGCCAGTACAGAGAGGTTTGCCATTCAAGCCAGAGCATCCCTGCCTGGTTGCCTTAACTGTAGGCCCCAGGCTTAACATCGCCTCTTTCCCAGCCACTCCCAGCAGTGCCTGCTGCTACCCTGGGCCAGGCAGACCGGTGGCCTGTTTACGTGAGCATGATGCAGATTAGTCTGGGCTGGGCAGCTCAGAGAAGTAAGTAACGTGAGAAAACAGGCAGGGAGATGCAGCGCCCTCCTTTCACCTCTGGGCGCAGGTGAAAGAGACACAGCCAGACCAGCTTGCCATGCGGCATGACGCGCTTTGAGAATTTTGAATTAATGTTTCATTTTAATGTTAAAAGTGGCGTGTATTTTGGGAACGCCAGAAGAGCCAGATTTGGTCCTGCACTGAGCCATGTCTGGCTCGAGACCCAGAGGCTGCTGACCCGTCTGACCTGCTCTTAAATATCTCCAATGATAGAGACTCCACAACCTCCCTGGGCAATTTATTCCAGTGTTTCACCACCCTGACAGGCAGGAAGTTTTTCTTAATGTCCAACCTAAACCTCCCTTGCTGCAGTTTAAGCCCATTGCTTCTTGTCCCATTCTCAGAGGCCAAGGAGAACCATTTCCCCCCCTCCTCCCTGTGACACCCTTCAGGCACACCTCTGAGATCGAGCAGTGCTGGTCTCCGCACGGTACGGATGGGGAACTGACAGGACACAGCTACATGACAGAAAATCCTGTGACAACTGTCTCAGAGGCTGCTGACTTAGGCTTGTGGGGCTCACGCAGAGGCACCAAGCGCCATGCAGCTGTTTTCACTCTGGCTTGGAGCCCTCTCATGGATGTGGAGTTCGGTGCCTGAGCGTGTGCACAGCTACTTTAGCACTGTCCTGTAAGCCCGTGGCCATCGAGCTGAGCTCTGAGACTCGCCACCGTGGAGGGGTTTAAATTTCTTTTTTCAGCGTAGACACACCCTGAGGCAGCAACCCGGTCACCCGCTGAGCCAGCAGCATAGCAGAGAGCTAAACCAGGTCTCCTGTGTCCCAGCAGAAAGCCATCCACTCTGGGGGCCAACATCGGAGGTTGTGGGAAAGGGCAGCTGATTCACCATCTACGACATATTTCCTGAACCTTGCCCACACGCTAGAGAATTTCTCTAGAGCAGCTCAGTGTGATTATTTAAACATAGGAAACCCAGAAAGTGTTGCCCCAGAGGTTGTTTGGGGACCCGGTCACACAGAAGCAGCATATATCCATATAACTTTCCAGTGGATAGCCCAAGGGGGACTCCCCAAGGGCACTCACCAAAACCTACCACCCGATGCCAGCGAGGGAGCCCCTCGAGGCCGACTCGGTGGGGCTGTCGAACCAATTCAATGCGAGGAGACGTACCTTGAACCCTCTGAAGTTTTGGTTTGGCAAAGGGCATCGGTAAATTTAAAGGGATGTAATGCTCATGGTTGCAAATTGTTTGCAGGAATTCAAACTTTAATTCAAGCAGGATCTGGATAAAAGACACAAGATGTTAGTGTGACTAGCTCGTTGCTAGCTGGCATGGATTGTACTGCTTGTTCACTGCTGGTGGAGTTACCCCCGGGCTGGGGCTTGCATGAGGAGGACTTGGTCCATCACGTCAGTAACCCTTTGGGGCTGGTTTATCTACTGCTTTGTCTCTTCTCTGCAGCCTTTATAAGCCACAGTGACCTCCTGTCATCTCTGCCCCACTCTCTGTCTCACCAAATACTCACCGGGCCAACTAACATGGGCCTCTGACACTCCCTAGCGCCTCATGAGCTTGGTTGCTCCTGATCTCTCAGGTGGTTTTAAAATGAGAACAGAATCGGCGTTCTCCAAGCACACGGAGACACCTCTCCGCGGAGCGGATATCGCAGACATGTTGCTGCGGCAGCCAATTGCAAGCTCTGTTTGACATAGACAAATATAACTCCCTCCCTTCCCCTGACAGGCTGCTGCGACGGATCCAGCGCTCACCTTCGGGTCTTTGCGACCGAATCCAGACATGTAGTCATTGATCAGGTTAAAAATGAACCCTCTGTCCATAAGCGTCAGGCAGCGCTGCAGAGGGAGAAGCACATTAGCATCCCCAGAACAGTGTGTCACTGTCCTACGTTGTCTCTATGGCCCAAGAGTCAGTTCGCCCACAGCCCTGCCAAGAGTCACACCATGTCCTGCTGGATAAACTTGCTCTATAAACTTGCTTTGTGGAAGCGTTTGGAGTGATCCACCTCCAGGGGACGAGAGCGCAATGAGAGCGCACCACTAAACCCGGCCACAGCACAGCTGCTAGGCAGGATGGCGGGCCCCCTCTGAACCATGCAGAGTCCTCTTTTCTTACCTGCTCCGAAAGCTATGCAGCAAAGCCCCAGCTGGTGAATTCACAGCATGTTCGGCGCTAGCTGCCTTGCATGCATTGAGCCTGGGAGAGAGGAGAAAGCCACTGACCTTCAGGAAGTTGGCCAAGCTGAAGTTGACATTCCTGGACTCCTCGGGGATTTCGCTGTAGCGGATGGTCACATGGGGAATTATGGCGAGAAGCAGCGAATGCAAAACGTGATGGTAAGAGTCAGGAAACCGCTGGGCTCGGGGCAGCTGAAATCAAACACAGACTCGGACGTCCAATCAGGGCCAAGGGATTAATGTGCAGGCTTCCTTGAAGCAGCCGCACAAATGAATACTCAGTTACACACCACACCCTGGGGTAATATGTGTCCCTCACGAGGCTGGAACACGGGAAGGGAACAGCCTACTACTGCTACCAGCTCATGGAGTAACCCTGCAGCTCAAATACGGGAGGTCTGTGCTGAACTGAGCCTAAGAAAAAGACCACAAATTACAGCGACAGAAGTACAAGGCAGGGGAAGTGGGGGGAGAGAAGTAAAAATAAATTCTGGCTGGGCTTTTCTGGTGTGTTGAGCACGGGCGGCACATTTTCTGGGGAGGTAAAGTTTGCAGAACAGCTGCCTGAAGGAGGCTGATGTTGTGACATCTCGTGTGTGCCTGGGGCCCTGGGCAGGCACGCTTACCTTGATTTTGTTCTCTTCTATCAGGTACATTGCCATGGACTTTGCCAGTGCTTCGAAGAAAAACCAGGAGTACTAGAACAAACACACGGAGATCAGTCCTTCTCCCGGACAGACCGAGCGCATGGTTCCGACTCCGAAAAGGCAGCATTGCAATGGCCAGAGGAGCCACACGGACAGCAGTTTGAACCGAGAGCGCCCTTTCATGCGTGTCTGAAATACGCCTTTTAAACCGATTCTGAGACACAGACTGAAGGCGAGTAGACTGCCTCTTGAAAAGGCTCGTCAGGACACCCTCTGCCTTGTGGAACCTGGATCCAGGCAGCCCATCCTGGCCCTGGGATGGAGTCCCCATGAAATCAATGGGCCTCCAGCAGGAGCAAGGGTCTGCCTGGAGAGGATCCACTTGCAGGACCGGGGGCTTTGATCATGCAAAGGTATGCAGAAAGGGCCAGGTGACACCACTGGCGCTGGCATGGGGGGTAAGGTAGCACGACTGGGCCCAAAGAACATTACGCATGGGCCGAGGGAGGACACAGAAAGGGACGCCTTCCTAGGCAGAAATGCCAAATCAGACCACTTCTCTCTCCTGAACGGTCCGTGGTTGTATGTCGAATGAATGACGTGGAAACATCCCCAAGGTGCATCATACGAGGACAACACAAATGATGAGGGATTTGGAAAGGGTGCCATCTGAAGAGAGCTTAAAAAGACTGGGACTTTTCAGCTTAGAAAAGAGGAGACTAAGGGGGGGGGATATGCTAGAGGTCTATAAAATCGTGACAGGAATGAAGAAAGCGAATATGAAAAAGTTATTGACTTGTTCCCATAACATGTCCTGTCTGCCGATAGTGGCAATACCAGGTGCCCCAGAGGGAGGGAACAGAACAGGGAATCATCGAGCGATCCCTCCCCTGTCGCCCATTCCCAGCCCCTGACAAACAGAGGCGAGGGACACCCTCCCTGCCCATCCTGGCTAATAAGTATTGATGGACCTAACCTCCATGAATTTATCTAGTTCTTTTTTTTTAATCCTGTTCAAGTCCTGGTCTTCACAACATCCTTTGGCAAGGAGTTCCACAGGTTGACTGTGCACTGTGTGAAGAAAAAACTTCCTTTTGTTTGTTTTAAATCTGCTCCCTATTAATTTCATTTTGTGACCCCTAGTTCTTGTGTTACGGGAGCAAATAAATAACTTTTTCTTGCTTACTTTCTCCACACTAATCATGATTTTTATAGACCTCTATCATATTCCTCCTTTGTCTCCTCTTTTCCAAGCAGAAAAGTCCCTATTTCATTAATCTCTCCTCTTCTGTTAGTCAGGGGCTGGAAATGGGCGACAGGGGAGGGATCGCTCGATGATTCCCTGTTCTGTTCACTCCCTCTGGGGCACCTGGTATTGACACTATTGGCAGACAGGACACTGGGCTAGATGGACCTTTGCTCTGACCCAGCCTGCTGGACCCTATGTTCTAGGAATCACACACAGCTGTGCCTCATGCAGAGAGAGCTGGGACCAAGGGAGCCTGGGAAGATTACGCCAAGACTCTGGTCCCGTGAGTGGGTATGAGCGGACAGAAGCAGCTTGGATGTGTAACACGGAGCCCCGACCTTCCCCCCTTTCTGCTCTGACCCTTCATGGGCCCGGCCCAGTTGCCCTTTTACCTTGAGCAGCTTATTGATGGCTAGGAAATCTGCCGACTGCTTCAGCACGGTGGCCATTGTGATGGCCAGGATTTCGTGAGTGGCCTTCGCCTGTGGGGCACTGGGCTTCTCTGCTCGGAAGCCAAACTGCAAAGGGACAAGGAGACTGTCAGGCCAGCGAGGGGCTTGCTCGCGGTGAGGAATTCACCAGACCAGAGCATGGCCCATCTGTTCCATCCCTCTAGGGCAGCTGGCACGGGCCACTATGGGCAGACAGGACGCTGGGCAAGATGGCCCTTTGGGTGACCCGGCCCGTCCGTTCTCATGTCCCGACTGACCTTTACGAAGGACCGTAAGTAATGATCTAGGCCTTCTTCATGGCACTTGGACACAATGTGGAGAAGAACCCTACAAAACAAACCAACAACCAACTGAGGGTGCAGGGTGCGACTGAGCACACTGCACCTCAGTGATACGCAAGGGTGAGCATCCGGGCGTGGGCCCTACTGCAGTACAGCCCAGCCGCCAGCCCCGGGGCTGGGGTGATCAGACAGGCTCCCAACTGGGCCTGAGGCGTTCTCGCCTGACTGGGCCTCCTCAGACTCCGCTGAGGAAGAGAGGGCCCTACAGCCGGGCAGAGGCCCCTCTGCCTCCCACCCCCAGTTTGTTTGCCTGCGTTCTGCCAGTGCCTCACATGACCAGGAGCAAAAGGGTTTCAAAAAGCAAGTTTACTAGTCACTAGGCCTGGGGTTTCCTCTCAGCTGGGGCAAGGGAGCAGGGCAGCCCTGCCAACTGTGCTCTGGCCCTCACCCCCTCGCCGAGAGCCAACCAGGACCCATCCTCGTTCTTCCTTTCACTGTGCCTTCTCCTCTGAAGCCTTCTGCCAGGAATTCTTTCCCAGTTCTCGGCTCCCCAGGCAGCTCCCCAGCCCTTTCCTCCTGAGGGACGCTTGACCTCTTTGAGCATAAGCGCTGCCCTACGTGGTGTGAGGCTTTGTACATGGCTGTGAGGGGCCATGGGTCTGGAACCAGGGACTCCAGGTCTCTAGACAACCCTCGTATTCCAGCAACCCTCCAGCAGCTGGCGGGTTGAGGCTGTGAGGGGCCATGGGTCTGGAACCAGGGACCCCAGGTCTCTAGACAACCCTCCTCTCCCAGCACCCCTCCAGCAGCTGGCGGGTTGAGCAGCTAATGGAATCCCACTTCTGCCACCACCGGCACTGCCCTAGGAGCTCCAACTGAAGAGGCGTCTGACCCCACCGACGGTCCCAGCTGCTCTGCTCATGCCAGAGAGAGACAGGCAGGGGGCTGTGCAACTGGCCATCTCCTGGCTGGCTGCTGCATGGCACCTACCTCTCAGGCCTGCCTGACTCCTGAGCCCCGTGGCCCTGCCTCGTTCCTCCCTCCAACCAACTCCTGGCTCCGGTCCCTGGTCTTCTGACTCCACCTCCAGTGCTGGCCCTCAGCTCAGACTCTGGTTCTCAACCTCGTCTCTGTTTCCTGGCTCTTGACTCCTACTTGGCCCTCGAGATTTGACCACCCTCATCTGCAGCCACAGCAGTCGGAGCTATGTATACAGGCCCCCAGTGACTCGGGACCTAGAGATTCCAAGGGGCCTGGGGCTCCTGGCTGCTAGTACTATTGGCCTTGGCCCCGCCCCTTCTGGGAGCACAGAGCTGGACCCCCAAGCACCTTGCCCGGGGGCCCATAGGCACAGTCAGCTCCTCTGTATATAGCTGATTTTTCACAATACTAGAGGACGATCCAGTTCTAAGGCAGGCTCCCGTGTCTGATGGGAAGTGACAGTGCGGAGCGGCAAGTAACTCTGGCCTCACTCCCAATCCCCAAGACAACAAGCGTCAGAGTCTGCAACCTTTACTCCTTCTGAGTAACACGGACCACGTGCAAGAGCGAACCCGTCCCGCCCTGCCCAGGGAGAGCCTGGCCCACCAAAAACAAAGTTTCGAAGCCAAGAAGGAAAATAAGAGAAGGAGGAGAATCACATTCCCCTAATGGCTGATCTCATCTCCAAACCCTTTGTTGGAAGGCAAGATGACTCCACCTCCATCTGGGGAGGTCAGTACGACTTTTAACTGCAATATCAGCTGGGAGGGAGGCCAAGTTTCTCTCTATTTTGGGGGATGCAATGTCAGCATTCCTTAGCAAAAAGCTGGATTACAGCCTTCCATGCACCGCGGAAGAAAGCAGCATCAGTTAAAAAGCTCTTACATGGTGCAGTTGACAGCTACTTCATCCTCCTGGGTCACGTTGGTGAGGACTCTGAACAGCTGCATAAGAATTATTGGCAGAAACTGTATCATCCCTTGGATCTCCATGGCATGCAAACACTGGAACAGATGTTCAGAAGACAGTTTGTAGCCTGACACGTTACAGATGTTGTCAAGTGTTTATACTTTGCCCAGAGAAGTTTGCATCCATGCAGGCATTCATAGGAGGCGTGTTTGGAATTACCCGGCCAGCTCATCATGCCAGTGAGCATAAATAACTCCCCAGGGCTCAGACATACTGCCCTCGGATGTGCCCCGACAGCAAGCATGGTCCAGGAACGAGTCAGCCGCTTTTACAAGAAGTCACATGATTGCTCCGAACTGCCGGATTTTTCCCAAAGGTTAGTGCTTAAGTTTTGTTCATAACTCTCTTTTTGTGACCAGTGGGAAACTTTCCAAAGGGATCTGGGCCCTTCATCACCCAGCTCCCAGCGACGTGTAATAACCCACGGGCCTCGCTCTGCTTTTGTACATGGGATGTAGGAGCTTTTGAAAGTTCAACTCTGTGAGTTTAAATATGAACTGATCTCACTCGCCCATTTCCCAGAGCTAAAATAAGGGGCCTCATTTTCAGAGGTGCTGAACCTTTATTATGACATAGAGCATGCCCTCCACGGCCTTGGTAATGTAACAACTTCCGTGCCTCAGTTTCCCCATCTATGAAACAGGGCTCACAATCGCCACTTGCCTCTCTCAGGAGACCCAACATCAGGTTATGTTTGTAAAATGGTTTCAACATGCAAACTGTGATTTACAAGTGCCCACTCTTAATAGTAAAGATGCGATTATTTTTACTCCTTAAAACGGTATTTAGCTCCATGCAAGAGACCCAATGATTTTTAATTCTACATGATCTACTCGGTGGCTACAGAATCACACTTGAAGACAAGTTGCTACCAAAGCTACCAGAAACGGTGAACGGAACGGTTCTGTCCTGGTCAGAAGTTACTGGTTATAAAAACTTGGCCCTGGTCCTACAACTCGCCTTTAGATTTCAGTGGAATGACTCTCCTCTGCCAGGCCCAGGACTCCTTTAAAATTGAAATTCAATTGCAGGCTATTGGCCGCATCGACCAAATTTTAGACTGGCAAAAAAAATACTGCACTCAGGTTATAAATCCCTGCAATAAGAAACTCTGCGAATCCAAAGGCATGCTCAGTATCAACAGCAGCACAAGAATATTAATGCAATGTAAAATAGCATCCCAGGTCAGGAAATCATTGGCACCAGCTAGGTTCAAAGTAGCCAACCCATTTAAGACAGTCGAGAGAATTACTCCTTCCCTTAAAGAAGTCTGAACAAGGGGAAATGAATGGGCACCACTGGGCCTTTACCAGCAGGGGGTGCTCAGACGCTGCACAGATGCCACTAGGTTCCCACCCTCGTAAAAATGAAAGGAAAAGAGAAAACAGCAGGGCGAGTTTCTGAGCAAAGCCGGTAACAAGAGAGGAAAGGGCAGGCACCGGGAACATTCACGCCGGGGAAGCAGGGCATTATATTTAACACCTGCGGGTCAGGCGCTCACAAGGACACATGCCCCTGTCCTCTCTTGAGGCGCTGAAGGTCGTGACTCGATTTCCCACTGCGGTAGATGGAAGACTCCTGTCAACATCAATGGGAGCTGGGACAGACGGTGACGGGGAGGGTCCTTTCTCCTAGGGGCTCTGCGGTCTCACCAAACTAGCCCAGGGGGTTTCAAACTTTTTTCCTCATAACCCAGCTGAAGAAAATCGTTGATGACGTCCTCTCTTGAGGCGCTGAAGGTCGTGACTCGATTTCCCACTGCGGTAGATGGAAGACTCCTGTCAACATCAATGGGAGCTGGGACAGACGGTGACGGGGAGGGTCCTTTCTCCTAGGGGCTCTGCGGTCTCACCAAACTAGCCCAGGGGGTTTCAAACTTTTTTCCTCATAACCCAGCTGAAGAAAATCGTTGATGACGCCACCCAACAGACTGTGACTGGAGTGTGGGCTGCGGGGGGGGGGGGAGCTAGTGCTGGGGGCGGGGGCAGCACATGGAGCCCTGTACACTCTCCCCACCCCCCAACCCAGGAGCTGGGCCTGCTGCGACCGCTTCTGGGGTGCAGCGCAGTCTGTGGTGCCAGGCCAGGCAGGAGCTGCCTTAGCCCCCCTGCCCACACTGGTCACCTGATCCCCCTGCAGCCACGAGCCCCAGCGCCCGACATCCCACCCCCAGTGCTGAGGCATGACCCGTCATTTGAAAACTACTGAGCGAAACCAATAGTCTGTGCTGCGCCATGAGACGTGGCAGTTTGCAGCTCTCAGGTCCCTGTATGGGCAGTGGGTGAAGGCCCAGCTGGGGAAGGCAATCCTCAGCCCCGCCCCTTCTGCCTGAGGCTCCGCCCCTGGAGCCAAGCCCCGCCCACCCCCAGCCTGATCCTTCCTGGCCACCTGGAGGGCTGGTGTTGCCGTGCTGGCAGGTTTGGGAAGGCCGTGCCTTCCTGTGCCTACAATACCGGTCGCCCAGGGGTCCCCGTCTCTAGGTGTTTACAGTGTGGGGCGAGGGCCGTGCAGGAACGAAAATCAGAGCCGTGGGAGGTGTTTCCGGGAGCCCTGGGAAGGACCAGGCCCTGCTTCCCTGAATACTGATAAGTGCGTGTATCTGGCTCCAAGCGCCCAGGGCAAGCTGTTCACTCTCCGGGCTCTGGGGCTGAGAGTCTCAGGGACCCTGAGGTGCGGCTGCACAGATCGATAACGCTGTCGCTGTACCATACTCGCACACCCCGCCTCGTTGGCACCCTCCCCGTGGAATACTTAGGGGCGCCGGTGCGGGCGGACAAGCCACGGACAGGCCATAACAAGGGTCAGGGGTGGACACTGTTCACCTTTAGGTATTTCACAAGCTCGCCTGGCACCTCTTTAGCTCCCGCCTGGACCAGCTGGCAGTGCTGGAAGAATTTGTGCAGGTGCAAGTCCTGAAGAGAGAGACGAAAACCAACCGATGTCAGTGCAGCAGCCTTGACCCCACATTTCGGCAAACCTCCCTCATTAGACCCTCTTCCCTCTGGCTCCCTGTTCACTGCAGCGTTCTGCACTGAACAGCTGTCTCAGGAAGCTTGCCGACCTGCCCCCCAACTGGGTCCCTGTGCCTAGCCCGTGTCAGCCTCCTCCTGCCCCTTCCAGGCCCCGCCACTGGGGGGAGGAACAAATACTCTCTTCTCCTAGCTCCTGGCATTTGAACCGGCATTTCTGTGCTCGTCTGCCTCGCTGACCCCCTCCGAAATGTCTTCCTCTCTCCCCTGCCTACCTCGCGTCACCTCCCCCGCTGCGCTCACATTTTATCACTGGGTTATTCACTGCTGAGCGGGGGCGGTGACGCAGGTTGCGTGCCGGGCGCAGCACAGATGGGCTTGGGCGGTTGCTACCGACACCACGGCACGATTCAGAGCAGGAAGTAGGCTCCGCCGTCCCCGAAAAGCCTACGCTAAATACGGCAGCTGCACGCCGGGGCCTGAGCCCCACGAACTCATCAGGCTGGCATCGCTTTGGCACTCAGGTGCGAAACATAGGTCGGACCTCCCAAATCCAGGATGCTTTGGTCCGGCAACATCTCTGGTCCAGCAGGGCTACGATGTTGCTGGACCAGAGACTCCAGAGACCGGGAGCAGGATCCAGGTGGGAGAACGTGGGAGCTGGGGAGTCCCAGCTGGGCCAGGGAACCCCCAGAGGTAGTGGGGCAGGCAGCAGCTGAATGGGGCTGGCAGTGGCTTCAGCAGGGGAATCCTGGGGAAACCCCAGCAGCAGTGGGGCAGGCAGTCCCAGCAGGGCCAGCGGCAAAGCAGGGAGTCCCAGCCTTGGGAGCCCCAGAGAGAGGAGCAGGCAGCCAGGAGGGGTGCATTGACTCCCTTGGTCTGGAAAACTCCCCGGTCTGGTACTGCTCAGGACCCGAGGATGCTGGACCAGGGAGGTTTTGCTGGCACAGCTCTGGTGCAACAGCTCTCGTGGTGCCAACATGGCCCACCATGCCACGGCATTGCTGCTCAGACCCGTGGCTCCCGTGGCCCACTCAGTCACAAGGATGGCCTCAGGGTCACGCCCTGGGACTACGAAATGCGTTGCCGCGGGTTTGCCCTATTCAGCAGGGCCGGGTGAAGGTTTTCCACGTAAATGTCTCTGCACAGCGGCGCAGGCGACTGACTGCAGGTTGTTGGGGAAAGCCACGAGCTGTTATTCCCCAGACTCTCTGGCTTGCTCTGCAGAGCACCAATCCCTTTCCTACGGCAGGGGGCAGTTCACATCATTCTACCCCACGTCCTCCAGGCCTGTGCTATAAGGTTTTACTACCCCTGTTCCCCGGACAAGGAACGAGACAGCCCGTTTACCTGAGTGTAAATGGTTGACTCCAAGTGGATTTTGATCTTAAACAGCGGCTTTGCTCCGTCCACCCATTTCGCATCAACGCTTGGCTGCTGCGAACAGAAGATACTCAGCTGCGTGGCTGCAGGCACCGGCAGACGAGAACGAGGCTTTCTGCAGCTGGATCTTATGCCCAGCCCTGTTAGTTAAATGCTCACTGACTGCACAGAGTCTGATGAAAAGGGCTTTGCATGGAGTCGTCCTCCATCACGGAGAGCCCCCTCCAGCTGGGCTGTTTCCAGCCAGCCTCACTGAGCCCACATAATACACACAGCCCTGCGTGGATACAACATTTGCATCCATATCCGCAGCCGTTGCCACAAAAGGAGCCACGGGCACCTGCAGCTACACCCAGGGCAGCAGATACCCACAGCTGTAGAGCAGATATCAGCAAACTTGCTGGGTTCTCGATACAACATTTGCATCCGCATCCATATCTGCAAAAATGAGCCCGGGCTATCCACATCTACATCTGTGGATGCGGTTACTTGTGGATAGAACGTGACTATCTGCAAATCTGCAGGGTTCTCCATACGAAATTTGCATCTGCAAAAATGAGCCGGGGATATCTGCATCTATATCCAGATACCTGTGGATATGAAGCGGATATCTGCGGATTTGCAGGGCTCTACTAATCCCCAAGCCCCATACAACTGCCCACTGGGGAGATGCGCAGGGAGTCACACCCCATTCGGGTGAGCAGGGAAGAAAGGCCCAGACAGACAGACATAGCACATGGAGTCCCCTATAAAGCCGGGACTTGTCCGACGCCCAGGCAGTAACGCCACGGAGCACGAGGGCCTTTTCTGGCTGTACTGTGGTGGTGATGGGGAGAGCCAGGCTTGTTGGATGGACGGGGGGGGCTAAGATCTGTGGACCAAAGGCAAACCCGAGGCTGGACACGGTGACAGACACAGCGTTCGTCTCCTCCTCGCTCCAAAGTCAAGGGATTTAAACTCTTTTCCTACCTTGCGCGACTCCATGTCCCCAAGGCCCAGGTAGCCGGCTGGAAGATTGGCCGAAACGGGCAAATGCTGCTCCAAGGTGATAATTCGGCCATCCCTCAGCAAAGGCAGCCAGGCAAAGCCCACTGTGGAACAGCCAACGAGCAGAGGTCACGGCCCCTGCAGCAGGATGCGTTCAGCAGTTCCCCATCAGACGTCCCTGGAACCATGGCTCACCCTCAACCAGCTTGGCCTGAGGGAGGACTGTCGGCCCCAGCGCTCAGTGGACCTCAGCACGGAACGTTACATGTGCACCCCGATCCTGCTCCAACCCGGCACTGCACTCCCATGGGCGGTCCCATTGCAGCCAACGGAACTGCAAAGGCCAGACTCTGCACGAGAGGCTGCAGGAGTGAGGCAGCCGTCGTATTGCAGTAGCAGTGGGGCCGACAGACTTGCTGGGCCCCTGGGCAAGGTGGAGGAGGGCGGAGCCTCGAGCAGAAGGGGCGGAGCCGGGGCAGCCAGCAGTAGCACTGTCCAGACCACTCTGTGCCCCACCCCACCTCACCAGCCCTTAGTACTGCCTGGAACATGCTGCATGGGGCTCCCGCGGCGATTTAGAGGGCCAAGGGCTCCAGCCCCCTCCACTGCCACAGTTGCAGTGACTGAGAGACCTAGCCCCTTTTGAATTGTCAGGCCCTGAGGCAGTTGTTCCCTTTGCACCCCCCTCCCCTCAGTGGGCCTGTGGGGTAGACACTAAGCCCTTGTGTTGCTTCCTGCCCACAAGGATTCATTGGCTCATAAGAAGATGCAAACAGACCCGTATCTCAAATCACAGCCAGCATCTTCTATTTATTCGTGTCTTTACATGTATTCCCACCGCCGCGCTGTCGATTTTAAGGGCTTGTAATTTAAGCAGCCAACATACCTGGAGTTTCAACGGCATCCTGCTTTTTCATCGATGCCTTGGTGTTGATTTCACAGCTGACGTGACAGAAGGTGAAAAGCAAATGATGCTTTTGGTGGAGGTGAATCGGCAGCTCAATTTTAATCTAAAATGACACCATGACACAGGACACTGGATTTCTAATTGCCAAGTTTTACTGCGGGTGCTCGTATCGACTGACATTTCACCATCAGTTTCAGAATCACACATTGGGTCACAGGTATTCCTACGCAGTTAGAACTCCACTGAGGAACCAGATTCATTGCCTGTTACTTATACGTTGTGACTAGGGATGGCAAGCGATTAAAAAAATTAATCGCGATTAATCACATGATTAATCGCATGTGCTGCCCCTTTGAAACGCAGTGGCGGTGTTTCAAAGGGGCAGCACTGCAGGACCCCGGGATCAGCTGGAGTCCCTGTCCCTTCAAAGGAGCAGCGCAACATTAATGCCTGCGGCTGGAGTCCCTGGCCCTTCAAAGGAGCAGCGCAACATTAATGCCTGCAATTAATGCGTTAAAAGAAATGAACACGTTAATCCTGCCTTGAGTTAATTGCAGACATTAACACAGATCAATTGACAGCCCTAGTTGTGACCATACCTGACCACATACGAGGAAAGCAAGACACCAGAAAACAAACGGACATTAAACCAGAAAAATCATTGTGCAGAAGGGCCAATGACAATTCTCCCCCCTCAGTCCACAGAGAGGCGCTGGGCTTCTCCGTGGCTTTGCCACGCCCATGGAAGGCCATTACTTCCCACAGTTGTTCTAGGGTCAAGTGTTTACCTCATCGTAGAATTCGGGACTTTGGTTATGATGCAACACCACTGCATAGGCATTTGCTGTCAGGATGGGACCACCGGGTTTGCCATAGATACACTGGAACGAAGGTAAGGGACATGTCGGATCCAAGGCAGCTCCCACCCAAACATGCCCACCACAATGATGAAATACCTCGGAACTAGGGAAAACGGACATTTTCCTAAATTCTCTTCTCCAGCTCAGAGAGACCATTTGACTGGAGAATAAATCCATCAAGGACTGTTAGCCAGAATGGGCAGGAATGGTTCCCTGGCCTCTGTTTGCCAGAAGCTGGGAATGGGTGACAGGAGACGGATCACGTGATGATTCCCTGCTCGGTTCCCTCCCTCTGAGGCATCTGGCATTGGCCACCGTGGGCAGACAGGACACTGGGCTAGATGGACTTTGGTCTGACCCCTTCTGGCCGTTCTTACAAGCCAGTGATATTGACCTAACAAAGTGCCCATTCTACACACGTGTATTTCCTGTTTCAGAAGTAGACTATGAACCAACCTTCAAGGCTTGGGCATCAGCTTCATCCGAGTCCTTGAACTCCATGCAGACGGCAATATTCCTTGCCTGGAGACAGGAAGAATGGGGCAGTGAGCTACTAGGGTTACATTGTCCGAACAGCCCAGGTGCCCTGCGACTCACCTTTGCAAATGTTTTCTGGCTGTCATACTTCAAGTGCAAGGGGTAGACGTAGAGATGGTTATTGTAAATAGTGAAAGGATAACAGTATTTCGCCACTTCAGGGACAAACTCTTCCACCTCAACGGCAACTGTCTCCTGGTCCCGCTCAAAAGGCTTTATAGGGATGTAAGACGCAGTAACACAGTCTAAAGGAGGAGGAAATACTGAGATAAGCAGGTGTCTGACAGCCATGGGAAAGACCACAACTGCAACGTACCATTTCACACCTGAAATTCCACCTTGGCCATCACATAGAGTGCTCACACTGCAGAGACGCGTGTGTATACACCCCAAACAATGTTCCCTCACGTGTATTTTCCGTGTGCAGATTTTTTCCATCCATTGTGTGGAATAATGTTTTTACATGCGCTGAGGCAAGTGTGACTGTGCACCATCAGTATAAACAAAAAACCTGGCTGTGGGCGCTCTTGCTAGTCAGATGGATCACACCTGAATTTCTCCTAAGCAGGGGCACAAGCGCTCAGCTCGCAGGGAACTCTAGCCCCACAGCAGAATTTGGCTCCTTGGCATTCCATGTTAGTGGGCCAATGTCTCCAGTCACACACGTGATACAGTCCCTTGGATGGAATTGTACCTGGTTGACTGATGGGAATTTGGCCCATTGTTAAGTCAGTATTTTAGGAATCTAACACTGGCTTAGCGCCTCTCTCCCGGAGGATGGAAAAGTCGCTTTTCATCCTCATGATCAGGGTAACCTCTGTTTGTTGTTTGTTATGTGCCTTCACATGCAATTCCCACAGATTCTAAGGATAGCTCCCGACATGCATATAGGGGAAGATTTTATCTTCAATTATCTTAACCTTAGTGTGACTAAAGTGGCTTTTCATACAACTAAAGAACACCTTGAGTAAGAAGATGTAGGTTCTGTCTATTCCCGGCCTGCTGGATAATCCAGGGCAAACCCCTTTACGCTCTGTGCCTCAGTTTCCCTACCAGTGAAAGGAGGGCAACGATACCACCCCCACAAGAAGCGCTGCACACAATGAAATGTTAACAGCCCAGCTGACGGTCAGATGTGGGTTTCTTACTTGAGAATTCCAGAGGGATGCCCTCGATGGTGACATTTAAGTGGCCCGGGATAACCTGGAGTTTTGTCTTCTCTGGCCTGCGACAGAAAGCAAGAACAAATGCCTCAATCCTGATCATTCAAACACTGAACAAGTGAGCCCCAAAGAGCTGAGCTTCTCGGGGTGGGGTAAGAACTCTCTCGTGGCCACACATCCTAGTGGAAAGACCATTCAAATGCCCGATGAGCTGCTGCCGCCATTCTTCACACTCACTTTTTATACTCGGCCAGCAGCTTCAGAAGGTCCTCGCTGGAGAGTTTGCCGCTGTCTTGTTTGTAGAGAGGAGAGAATTTCCCGTTGTGATCCAGCGCGCCCTGAGAGTCTTTGAAAACCGGCCTGCAAAACACAGAAGTGACCACAGCTCCCAATCAGTACAGCCCAGGAGCAGCGGAGCTCCCACGCCGGCCTGGGACACACTCCTCGTCGGCATCTCCCAGGTGCTGTGCTCTGCCTCTGTTATGATTCACACATGATGCTGGGCTGCGTGAACGGAAGTGTTGTGAGCAAGACACGAGAAGTCATTCTTCCGCTCTACTCTGCGCTGATTAGGCCTCAGTTGGAGTATTGTGTCCAGTTCTGGGCACCACATTTCAAGAAAGATGTGGAGAAATTGGAGAGGGTCCAGAGAAGAGCAAGAAGAATGATTTGAGGTCTAGAGAACATGACCTAGGAAGGAAGGCTGAAGGGATTGGTATAGTTTAGTTTGGAAGAGAGAAGACAGAGAAGGGACATGATAACGATTTTCAAGTATCCAAAAGGGTGATTCAGGAAGGAGGGAGAAAAATGGTTCTCCTTGGCCTCTGAGGATAGGATAAGAAGCAATGGGCTTGAATTGCAGCCAGGGGGAGATTTAGGTTGGACATTAGGAAAAACTTCCTGCCTATCAGCGTGGTGAAGCACTAGAATAAGTTGCCTGAGGGGGTTGTGGAATCCCCATCTCTGGAGATACTGAAGAGCAGGTTGTATAGAATCTGTCAGGGATGGTCTAGCCCATTGTTTCTGAACGTGTTCTGCGGGAACATTTAGAGAAACACGTTAACTGACCATCCCAGTGTGTTTACTTACCGGCGCCGCGGCCACGGAGCCTCGCGGTTCCCATTGGCTCCGGTTCGCTCTTTGCAGCCAAGTGGAGCTGCGGAAGTGGTGGCCCAACCCACGCCGCTTCTCACAGCTTCCCTTGGCTGCAAAGGATGAAACAGAGCCAATGGGCACCACGAGGCTCTGTGGCCGTGGCGCCGGTAAGTAAGCACATCAGGGCGGCCAGAAACACTGGGCTAGCTGGTGTTTGGTCCTGCTAGGAGGGCAGGGGACTGGACTCGATGACCTCCCGAGGGCCCTTCCAGTTGTAGTGTGCTAGGACTAACAGCGTAGGGAGAAGGAAGAGACCCAAAGCCCATCGGTATCAGGGGAACCTTTTCATTGACTTCAATGGGTGTGGGGCCAAGCTCAAAGGGTGAGATTCACTCCTGTGCAGAACACACACCAGGGCTACGCCACACGCACACTCAAACCAGCTCATCCTCTGCACACCGGAATGAACGGCATCCCACGGCCAGCCTGCGGGCTCACCAGCTTGTCCTTGCAATAGCCACACTGCTCATGGAACCTCGGTGGATGCAAGCAGCCACAGGCCACGCTGACATCCCAGAGTCGTTACCATCTTGGCTTGGGACCAAGAGCAGCCCAGAGAGGGAACGGGAGACAGTGGGATGAATTTATAACTCAGTGATGATGTTTTCAAGGGAGACGCACTCAGAGCCAGCTTGGCTCAGTGTATTTTTACTCTCAACCCAAGAACTTTTGGAGGATCAGCCCATGGTCTTCAGTCAGCTCAGACCCTGAAGCAGGAGGGTTTATCACTACAACTGGTTGGAAATGATTCACCCATGTGTTTTCGGTGAAACACACCAGTACTGCTGAAATCTAGACAGCCCAACAAATGTGTGGATATGTTGAAAATTCCCGTGGGAAGAAAAATGCCCTTGTTTAGTTTTGAATTTTTTATTTTGGGGAAGGTTTGTTTCAGATTTTATTTTGCTTCAGGGTTTTCACTTTTAAAAATTATTTTCACAATACTCCTTAACATGCCAGCACTAGTGGTGCACAATAGGACCTCATCTGAGAGCTAAAATATTCAATTTTGTTTTAAAAATCACTGAAGCAAATGCGACATAACCACGATGGAAACATTTTCATTTCCAGATCAGAGTGTCTTCTGCTTGTAGCAATGAACAATCTGACCCTGCTACTGTTATCACGTTATGAAAGAATGCTAAAATAAATATAAAAGTGGAAAAAAATTCTAAAGCAAGAACAAATTTGGAATTTCAGAATTCCAAAACAAAATTTTCCCATACAGAAATTTTACAGAAATTTTGTTTCTTAGGAAACTTCTATTGTTTTTGGTTTGATAGGGAAGACTAACATTTCAAAATGTTGATATTTCCCATGAAACAGAAATTTCACATTTCAACGAGCTCTATTTATAGTTTTCCACTAAATGCTTGTTTATTTTCTAATCTTTCCTGTTCTGACTCTGGCTCACAAAAACAATTGGTATCACCAAATTCTGCCCTTCGTCGCATTTGTGCAGCTTCCCTGGCTTACGGAATTTGGCCCTTAACCATCACCATGGGGCCTCGTTTGCAAACAGCACAGACAACAACAACTTCAGAAGGACAGGGCAGAGTTTCAAGTCAACTGACCTGGCAGCCCAAGCAAAGGGCATCCTGTACCGCCCAAGCCGACCACACACCTGCTTAGCCAACTTATGAACCTTCTGGGCAGTCTGGAGAAAAGAGAAAAACAAAATAAACCAAGGGAAAGGATCCATGGGGTCACGCTTCCTAGGGCCGGAGTTACGCTGCGACAGTTCTGGGGAAAGAAAGCCCTCCACTTTCTAGCAACGTACAGCCAGGTAAGAGTCCAAGCAGCTAAGACATTCCCCACCCTGAGCCTCACCCAACTTACTCCAAAGTCAACACGACTCTTCTCGTTGAATTCAGTGGAAGGGGCAGATC